ATTGCTCCTGTTCGCAACCTGGCTGCCAATCTCAGAGCCAATTAAAGTTTCGAACTATCTTCAAAGGCAGCCCCACGCAGAGAGCGTTGTAGTAGTCCAGGCGGTATGTGAATAAGACGTGGGCTGCCATGGCCAGATCTGGTGTCCCAAGGCATTGTGGGGTTCCAGGGTCAGCAATGAGTCCAGGAGCACCCCCAGACTGCGAACCTGTGTCTTCAGGAGGAGTGTGACCCCATCCAACACAGGCTGTAACCCCACATCTTGGTCCGCCTTCTGACTGACCAGGAGTACCTCAGTCTTGTCTGGATTTAATTTCAACTTACTAGTCCTCATTCAGTCCATGACTGATGACAGGTACTGGTTTAGGGGCAGGATGGCATCCTTAGTATTAGGTGGAAAGGAGTAATAGAGTTGAGTGTCATCCACTGCACTACAAAACTCTGGATGATATCTCCCAGCAGTTTCATGTAACTGTTGAACACCATGGGAGACAGAATTGAGCCCTGAGGGACCCCATAGGCCACATACACTGCTGATGTGTGGAGAAAGTGGAGCCGCACTACTACCTCCTCTCCCCCATCCCCGGTCTCTTCCCATCTTCATTCATACATTCATGATGTTTCAGACTAGTCCAAGATTTTTTGTTGTGGTCTGGCAGCAAATACTGCCACCACCATCTCAAATCAATATACACAATGTCCAAGTTCAACCAAGGTATTGTGGTCCAGAGGCTGAAAATCTGGCAAGCACTTCCCCCTGGATGTAGAAAAACCTACAATGACCTTTCACGATACCCAAAATCAGCTGCCTCACTCTGCTAAATGGTGAAGCTAATCCGATTAACGTATGGAGAAGTTTAGAATTGAGCTATTCTCTCCTTTTCTGTCAGGATGTATCTATTCCCACTTGACTGGTATCAGCTGATATATGGAAGCAGTCATCAGGCAAAGATACTGTGATACCTTTAATTTGTTCTGTGACTGAGCTCTTAATTCAAAATGCTCTTATCCCAAAGAAATCATAAATAATGTATAAATGCACATTCACATGGAACAATAAAAAAGGAAGATAAACTTTAAAATGGTAGAAGCACAAAGTTGTGGCAAGGAACACAAAGCACAAAATGAAGAGGCAGAAGCATCATTTTCTTCATACTGCACTAATTCCAGCCTCCATCCTTCCCTCTCTTGCTCTCTCCCTCCCTCTCTCTCTCTTCATGAATCCAAACATACCAAGAATAAAAGCCACACAAAATCAACTAACCAAAAATTCATCAAAGCAGACAAGAACAAAGTGGACAGCTATCTCCCAAAGTGGAAAAGAGCATGAGTCACAGAGGCTGCTTCCTTGAAGCCCTAAAGCCCTATAATCTGGCACGAGTGCTCTCTCTGACACTAGTTCTTAACTCAAAACACTGCTCTAATGTCAATGTGAAAGCTGGGCCGAGTGACAGGTCTTGATTCAAGTTGGGACCAGGGGCAGCTCAACCCATTACGCAAAGTAAGCATTTGCAGTATAGTTGATTTTGCCCAGGGGCGCTCTTGAGGCGCTTTTGGGAGGGAAACAGATCTTGATATATGCGAGTTGTAATTACTGGGATTTATAGTTCACCTACAATCAAAGAGCATTCTGAACTCCATCAGTGATGGAATTGAACCAAATATGGTACACAGAACTCCCACGATGAACAGAAAATATATACCAGTGATTGGGGGGGGGGGGGCAAAATGCTGTTTGCTTACCATTGAAAATTACTTAGGGCCGCCTCTGGTTGGGACGCTCTTAAGTAGAGGTCCCACTGTATTGGAATTTGATGTTTGAGGTTGCTCCTTTATCATGGACAAATTGGTGTCTAGGGATGCTTTAACTGTACATAGTAGGACTTCTAACCATTGTTAAAAAGAGTGTTTTGTTTTGTTTGTTTGTTTTGTTTTTTGCATGGCTTGACCCCAGAGAAAACATACCATTCATGTTAAGGGTGTTGAGTGCCTATTACTGAAGGGACAGTATTAATGTAATAGATGTTACTGCTTAAGACAAAGGGTAAGATAGTGTCCCTTCTCCAGTTTATGGACATTATCATAACAACCCACTATTCTGCAATAGTTGTTTTACTACTGATAATAGAAACATGCCAGATTGAGCAACTTCAGTATTATATTTATCTTCAGTAGCACAATTGAGTCTATTTGCCATTCGGTGATCTTGCCAACATATTGTCTCACAAATGCCTCAGCAGTTCTCCTGTTGAAAGGAAGCATACTATGGCAACACGGTTTGGCTCAGAATCAATCGCATCAAGGTTCCAAGCACAGCAAAATATTTGAATTTCTAGGCACAGTTATGTGCATGTACACATGAAAAAGTATAATTTGGTTCTGTGAAGAGAAGGAATGTCATAGTGTTTAGTAGGTGAGTATTCAAGAGTGCATAGACAGTGGTGGTGAACCTATGATACACATGCCAGAAGGGGCACGCAGCTCCCTCTCTCATGGCATGCGTATTACTGTCCACCTCCCATTTGCCACCCTGCTCACCCACCCACTTGCCCTCTGCTTGCTTGCTTGTCTGTTTGGCCACCCCATCTCTTTTGCTTGCTTGCTTGCTTGCTTGCTCACCCATTTCCTTCCACTTGCTTGCTCACTTGCCTGCCCGCTGCCCCAATTCACTTGCCCCTCCCAGTTGCCATCACTGTCATAAAGGAACAAATCTATACCCAGGTTTCATTCAGACATTATCATACCCTACAACATTTTGCAGATGAAAGCCAAAATGAGAGGTGGCCAATAAACATGAGAGTGAAATCAACACGGCAAAAGGTATTAATTAGGAAGAAATGATACACTAGTTTGTTTTTGCCTGAGCCAACTGGAAAGGGTAAGATTCAACCTCCGCAGTACAAATTAATTGAGTGCTAGTTACTTTGCACTGCGAGTGCTGTTTGCAGCAACTGAGGTAAACTGAGGACAAAGGGGGAAAGTGGAAAAGGAAAAAGCAAATGGAAAGGGGAAAGAAGAGATTAATCAGGAATAGAAAACTGAAATATTTAGGTGATATGCTTTAACATGGTCAGTCCAGAATTCTTGAAAAGTTTGACTCCTTGTAGACAAGGCAGAGCGTTAGTTTTTGCTCTTTGCCCAGCCTGTTGAGAGTTAGGGCAGGCAAATAAACAACACAACTTCCATCTGTGGTTACATTGTAATGATGCCCAAATGTACCAGGCTGGCTTTTCTCCCTTTCCAAAATACTAGAGTGCCAGGATCAGATGGCTGGAAGGTCCATGGTTTGCTTAACTGCTGCCACCTGCAGTGAGAGCAATTGGGCAGCGGAAACCAGCACTCTGCTCATAAACAGTAAGCCAAGATTCCCCCAGAACCCTGGCTAATGAGGATGCGTGAAGCCAGCTAAAGAGTAAAAATGCCTTATTTCCTCTTCCTTCTTTGGTGTCCAGATGGACCACTTAGTCTATTTTAAAGGTTTTAGAAATTTGTTAAAACAAAAACCCATATGAGAATTACCTGAGATAATCTGCCTCACAGGAATGAAGAGATCATTCAAAAAATATTGCTGGGAGAAGGACACCACTGGAGTCCACCCTGGTTTCTTATTACTGAGAGCTGGCCTTGGCCCTGTCCAGAGTTCTCCAGATTCTTGGTATAACCTGCCATGTGCCTCAGCCTAGGAACCTGGTACAATAGGGATCTATTCCAGGGAGAATGGCCCATATTTGTGAGATCCCTTCTTTGCCCCTGTTTTCAAATGATTTTATTGCAGCCAGAACTCTGTATCCATCCCAAATGTGCATTTCTCTCACACTTGGCAGTAGTATTTTGTGTATATGAACAGATATGGGATAAAGGAAAAGTACAGGCAACATGCTTGTGCTAGCCTTCCATATATGCTTGTGAATCTTACAAAGAGGGGAACAGGATATATTGCTAGTTGTGACCCTTATCTGGAAATCTGAAATCGGAAATGCTTCAAAATCAAAACTCTTCCACCTGGGTGTCTAAGACAGTGATATCTTTGTTTTTTGATAGTTCAATGTACTTGGACTTTGTTCATGCATAAAATTACTGAAAATGTTGTGTAAAATGCTATATGTGTAAGGTGTAGAAACATAAAAGGATTTTGTGTTTAAACGTTTGGGTCCCGTCTCCAAAATAACACATTATGCATATGGAAGTTTTCCAAATTCTAAAAAAATCCAAAATATGGAACTCTTCTGGCCTCAAGTATTTCAGATTTATTTATTTATTTTCTGCAAAAGCATAATTTGTATAAAACTGATAAAAATAGAGATAACACAAGCAGTTAAATAATTTTAGACTAAAAACGGGCAACAGCAACCATATTGGCTGTAGCTTTAAACAGTTCTTCCTCTGTGCATGAGGCAGGGCGTTGTGGGCAAGCATACAGATGCTGAGTTGTTTGTTCTGCTCCACAGTTGCACAAGGTGGAGGATTCTTCTAGGTAGTACCATTTTGCCAGGTTGTCTTTTGGTCTGCCATGACAGTAAATTACCACCATCATTTAATAATGGCCAATGGAGGCGTGGTTATAACCCTGATCTGATTTTTGTAAATGAAAGAATGGTCCATCAGTGCATTAAAAGGGTATTAAACCCAATACACAATACTCAACACAGACCAATACGCTGCCTAGGAAAGGCCAGAAAGTGTCCCTTTCCACAGAAGTATTTCGGATAAGTGATAGTCAACCTGTCCCTCTTTCAGGTTTTAAGGACCTCCTGTACCCTTTTGCTGAGCCATGTAGGTTAAATCACATAATTGGTGCTCTGTCCTTTTACATTCATTTCATTTTCACAATGGCCTTTGTTTCCAAAGATTTCTAAGAGGCTTTCCTCCACTCCCAATACCCCGATATCATCATCCAAGCATAGAGGGGTTAAAAGAGCCCTGGGCAGCTGCCAAGGCTAGAAGGTCCTCTCAGTTCCAGATTCTTGTCCATATAGCTGTCTCTCAACTAAGCAAAGCGAATCACATTAACTATCATGTGATTGTGTGCTGCCTCCAAAGGCTTAACTAAGGAGAACTTTACTTCCGCCTCCTGCATCTCTGTTCCTCACACTCTGCCTTTGGCTTGGACCCAGTTCCAGTGGATTTTTCTACCCGTCCATCATTTAGCAAAGTTGTGAGGGGACTGCCTTTTTCCTGGCTTCAAACTCCCTGGATTTCCTTGTAGCAACAAGTATTTCATTTTCCTTTCCCTCAAGTTTTTCTTCTGGACAGTTTTGTCTATCATGGGTCACTGAAATGAGCAAGCCAAGGTATTTTGTTCCTTTTTGCAAAACCTGTATCGCACTGTGTGGATATAAGGCAGGCAGAGATACCTTGCCCAAATGGAAAACAACCCCCCTTTTGTCTACAGGAAGATTACTGGGGTAAGTAATTTTACTGAGATATCTGCATGTCACAAACCCAGAGGTATCTCTCTCAAGCCTGGCCTGCCGCTGTGCTTTGCATACCTCAAGTGATTAGCTGGGATTTTAATTGCACCCGACTTGAGAACGGCCGCCAAGGCTATATTTCCAGCTACTGTGCTCTGGGCTTCCTGGCAGGAGAGTTTCCTGATCTCCTGTGTTTGGGGTGAGCATGTTATCCTCGGGAGCATGAGGCAAAAACAGGAGTGGGAAGAAGAGTTAGTCTAGACAGACTTTTTCAAGTTTCTTAGCTCAAGATTTTTCAATTACCAGATGTATGTTTGTAATAGTGCTGCCTGAATCCTTTGAAACATAATGCTTCTGCTTTGCTGCTTTCCAAATCACATTTCATTTGGTTGCAATGATCTTCTGCAATGAGGCTCAAAAAAGGTGACTTATTCCAGTTCTAAGTTGGCCATCCAGTTTTTGTTTTTGTTTTTTGCGTGCCATCTGGCTTTATAGGCTTTTACTTGGCACTGAGTTATTTTAAAGGATAGGTAAAGGTAAAGGTTTTCCCCTGACATTAAGTCCAGTCATGTCTGACTCTGGGGGTTGGTGCTCATCTCCATTTCTAAGCTGAAGAGCCAGTGTTGTCCGTAGACACCGCCTAGGTCAGGTGGCAAGCATGACTGCATGGACAGCCATTACCTTCCCACCGGAGCAGTTCCTATTGATCTACTCACATTTGCATGTTTTCGAACTGCTAGGTTAGCAGAAGCTGGGGCTAACAGTGGAAACTCACACCGCTCCCCGGATTCGAACCTGCACCCATTCGTTCAACAAGTTTAGTAGTTCAGTTGTTTAACCCACTGCGCCGTCGGTGGCTCCTTTAAAGGATACGGTTGTCCTAGTCTAATCAGAGATGATTGACTAGGCTTCCTCTGCCCACTATCAAATGCAGAAGAACACAGTGTTGGTTAGCTCTCCTTCAGGATTAAATTTATATACCATTTGAAGGGGACAATAGTAGCTCTGAAAGACTCTTGCAAACCAACCTGGAGAGAGATAGAACAAGAAACAATGCCTGCGAATAAACACTGGATGAGGGTCAGATTAGAAACGGATTTCTATTTGTTTAGAATGGCTGCCCTAGCCATATAAAAATAGTGGAAGAGAATATGTGTCAATATTGCATGGGTCTGTGTGTACATATCCTTGTATGCATTTTCCCCAGAAATCCTTCCCAGATACTGTGATCCCAGTCAAACTAGATCAGCGTTTCTCAACCTGGAGATCGGGACCCTTGGAGGGGTCGTAAGGGGGTGTCAGAGGGGTTGCCAGACACCATCAGAAAACACAGTATTTTCTGTTGGTCATGGGGGTTCTGTGTGGGAAGTTTGGCCCAATTCTGTCATTGGTGAGGTTCAGAACGCTCTTTCATTGTAGGTGAACTATAAATCTCAGCAACTACAACTCCCAAATGTCAACGACTATTTTCCCCAAACTCCACCAGTGTTCACATTGGAGCATATTGAGTATTCATGCCAAGTTTGGTCTAGATTCATCATTGTTTGAATCCAAAACTTAAGGTCAATGCCCACCAAACCCTACCAGTATTTTCTCTTGGTCATGAGATATCTCTGTGCCAGGTTTGGTTCAATTCCATCACTGGTGGAGTTCAGAAAGCTCTTTGATTGTAGGTAAACTATACATCCCAGCAACTACAACTCCCAAATGTCAAAATCAATTCCCCCCAACCCCACCAGTATTCAAATGTGGGCATATCAGATATTTGTGCCAAATTTGGTTTAGTGAATTGAAAATACATCCTGTATATCAGATATTTGCATTATGATTCATAACAGTAGCAAAATTACAGTGGTGAAGTAGCAACGAAAATAATTTTATGGTTGGGGGTCACCACAACATGAGGAACTATATTAAGGGGTCGTGGCATTAGGAAGGTTGAGAACCACTGTACTAGGTTATCTCCTTTCTTTTCCTATTTGCATGGAGAGGAAGCCACATATTGGTCTGTTTTGAATGTATCTTAAAGGCTATGCTCCCATTCAGGACCAGAGAAGGGACTTGGTTGCCACAAGGGTTAAGGTTTTTTGCTCAAAAAAGATAGTATTTGCTTTCCATCTAGTAATCAGGATTCTATATACTTTCTTTTTCTTTCTTTCTTTAGAGTAGTTGATTTTACTTAAAAAGGACTTCTACAGCCATCTGCCTGATCTGTTTTGAAAAATGAAGCTAAGAATCCCAATATAGTTATTTTTGCATGTATATCAAAACATATCAGTGACCCAATTATATATTAACATTCCAGCCCAATTGCTTGAACATGTGATTGTGGAGGAGAGGATTCATTTCTTCCTAATATATCTTATTATAATTCAATGGCTGTTTCTAAATTAAGGAAAATGTTAAATGTGGTTTCTGAAGCAAATTTATCCCGATTTAACTGCTACTCTTGCAGATCATGTTCCACATAAAAGAGTCTTTCTTTCTATGCCCTCTGTCTATATAGATGCTGGTTTCTTTCATAATGCTTTAGCAAAGTATCTCACGGTTGCTATAGAAGTTCCCATCTGACTGCTACAACCGTTGCATTAGTTTAAGCTTCTTGCATACCAATCTTAGTTATTTTGGTTTATATTTACACACATTTCATATGGCCTGGATTAACACTACCCGTTTAAGAAAGCCTCTCTATATAACTGAGCCTTACTGGGCAATTGCCTTCTTTTTACAGCTACACAATCTGATGTGTGTCATCTGAGATGTATTTGGGAATTCCTTTTTTAAGAAGAATTGAAAGGGTGTGTGTTTGCTTTTTTTACACCCATCTTTCTTCTACAAAGCTTCTGGCAATGTGAATGTTTTCTTCCTTTCCTTGTGAATGGTCCAAGCACACCCAGTGTTGTCAGCTCTGCTATTTCATTGACTGTTTTAGGAGTTTTGTCATTTAAATTGGCTTCTTTAGAACAGGGGTTCCCAAACTGTGGTCTGTGGACTACCAGTGATCCCCAAAAACTACAATATGGTCCTTGGCACCACCGTTACTGCACCATTGCAACAAGAGTGACTGATTTCGTGAAACCCTCTTATAGTGCCAAGGCAATGGAGAGAGGAGGAGAGAGGCTGTCAGGAGGAGAGAGGCTGACTACCCACGAAAGGAGGCATAACAACAAGCTTCCTGATAGCTGCTTCTCCTCCTCCTCCTCCCTTCCCGTTCCATGTGGTGCCTGGAAGTGGGGGCGCCTGGTGTCTTCATTTTTAGGCGTCTTCCTGGGTTATTTGGAGTGCTGATTCAGAAAATTGCATTGGATAGACCACATCAGCTCTAGATTATTAAATATGGTTTTCTGTGGGGGAGCAGATGGTGACTACTGGATGGCATACACACTGTATCAGAAACTAGAGAGATGTGGTCTATCCAATGCAATTTTCTGAATCAGCACCCCAAATAACCAAACTGAATCTAAAGTTGACCAAAAGCCGATATGTAACCCTTTTGGTACTAATGTTGGAGAGTGGTCCTTGGCCAAAGTGGTCCCTGGTCAAGTGGTCCCTGTTCAAAAAAAGGTTGGGAACCACTGCTTTAGAAAGACATCAAAAATACCTTCTGATAATTAGAATTAAAATCTGTTAAACAAACCAGTCTTCAAGAGGGGGATTGCTAGGGCTTAGAATTAGAAAAAGTGTTTAGCATACTCTTCAATCCCCAGATAGGCTATCATCCTGGAACCTCAGTATGAGACAGAGTGAGAAATTGAGCCTATATTCATTATAATATAAAAGGTTTTATCAAGTATTGTCTTCTCTTAGACTCCAACTCCATTGTAGGAGTTTATACATATAGGCACATCAGTTATATACTTGTATATATTAGAGTACACGTTAGAACGGTGTTTCATTTGTTTTCTGGATCAGTTTCTGTCATAAACAAACACTGTTTCCTTCTCTGCTGGATAATTGTTCTTCCACTCTCTGGTCTGGTTTTTGGAAAGTTTCCTCCAAATCCTTTCAGATAGACATGGTAACTGACATGTATCCTACAACTGCTACATTGATTTGCATGACATAGAAGACCCTTATATTAGCAAAAACACACCCTTCGACATTTTACAGATGAAACATGTAGCCAAGCCACATCAGAGGGTGATCAAGATGGCAACCATCATTAATGAGGAAGAACAAACAAACTAGGGTGGACTTCAGCATGTTGCTTTTGCCTAAGCCTACTGGGGAGGGCAAGATTTCCCGCTCTGCTCCACTATTTGAGCACAAGTTACTTTTACACTTTGAGATCAGTTTCCACCAACTGAAAAAAGACAAAGGGAGAAAGTGGGAAGAGAGAAAGAAACTGAGCTATTGGGTTGCTGTGAGTTTTCTGGGCTGTATGTTTCAGAAGCATTCTCTCCTGACAGTTCACCCACATCTATTGCAGGCACCCTCACTAGCTCTGAGGACGCCAGCCATAGATGTGGGTGAAGCGTCAGGAGAGAATGCTTCTGAAACATGGCCATACAGCCCAGAAAACTCACAACAATTCTGACTATGAAAGCCTTCGACAACAATCTGAGCCATTTTAAAAACACCTGGGGGGGGGGGGGAGAGCAAGGACAGAGGATTAATTCAGATTGTCCTTGCCCTTCTAGAACTGTTGGGGGAATGTGCAAAAGCTTATATGACTGACTTTCATAAGCTGTGCTGCAGCGTGACACAAACTATAGTATTGATTAGTTCCAGATCCCAGATCTTGAGGGTGTGGACAACCTTTGCCAATTGCAAATGTTTTCTGTATTAAGAAGATAACCCAACTCTTTGGATTGTTTCATTGGATTGTTTGGAGCTTCAGCTGCTCATAGTCAGGCAAATGAATGCATACCTAATGATGAAATCTGTTAATTGTAATAAATTAAATGAAGGGTCTAACAACACAGTTACGTTTTCTTACATTCTGAAAAAAAAATGGAATTAGGGGAAGAAGCTGAGTCAAAATGCCCTTATACCAATACTGACACCCTTCTGATACCTGCTTCAGGAAATACATTAAATACATCTTGAGATAACACTGTCTGCATGATTCCAATAAATAATATTTACAAAAGGACTACTGTCTTCAGAGCAAAGCATTCCTGTGGTAGGAGTAAAGCTTGAGGCACTTTTCACACTGGTACGACCCAGATAGTTCAATCGTATTTGGCTGGGGCTCCTGTTTTGTAGGATTACTTTGATAAATGGGTTTATTTTGCCACTTTGTATGATAATACAACATATACTTTGACTCCAATGAGCTGAAATAATAGGAACAGCAGTTTCTAACAAAGATGGCCCCTTTCAAACTATAGAATTGTAGCACTATGGTTCCATTTTAATTGCCATGGTTACATTCTATAGAATCCTGAGATCTCTAGTTTAAAGGTGAACTATATAGCATTCCCACCTGGAGAACTGTAGTCACAACCAAAGGATCAATGCTGGTGGCGCAGTGGGTTAAGCCCTTGTGCCGGCAGAACCTGCCGACAGGTTGCAGGTTCGAATCCGGGGAGAGGCGGATGAGCTCCCTCTATCAGCTCTAGCTCCTCATGCAGGGACATGAGAGAAGCCTCCCAGAAGGATGATAAAAACATCAAATCATCTGGGCATCCCCTGGGCAACGTCCTTGCAGACGGCCAATTATCTCACACCAGAAGCAACTTGCAGTTCTTCAAGTCGCTCCTGACACGACAAAAAAAAATGGCAGTTAAAGTGGAGTCATAGTGGTATAATTATGTAAGATGACATGGAAATTGTGTACCTATAGAAGTGTGGTGCCTTGCCATTCATCCACACTTGGGTAAAGAGGTTCTGGTCTCTAGCCAGATTATTCAAACCTTTTCTCAAACTAGTATACTTTGGAAACCACCTCATTCTGATTTCTGCATTATTTTCCCTTAAGGAATTGATGCCAACCCATGTTTCTGTTTAGCTGTGTTTTATTCTGCTAACATGTTTTCATGTGTTAAAGAGTTGTGTTGCTTTAAGAAGCTAGGTAAAGCCTTCCACAAACTTTGCAAGAGCAACATAAACTCCTTCCACACAGCTGAATAATATCCAACATTATCTGCTTGAACTGGTATATATGGCAATGTGGACTGGTATATATGCCCTTCCACACAACCATATATCACAGAATATCAAGACAGAAAATCCCACATTATCTGAGTGTGGACACAGATAACGTATTTAAAGCAGATACTGTGAAATTTTCTGTCTTGATATTCTCAGTTATACGGCTGTGTGGAAGGGCCCAGAGTCCTAACCAAACAGAGCTAAAATGTCAGTTGTTTCAGTTTCCCACCCCTTTTATCATTTTGTAGCTATTCTTCAACTGCCTCTGGAATTTATGGCACTAATTTGATGTTGTTTGGTTCACTAGTGTAGAAGAGCTAAAGCAACTCTGGAAATATACAGCATATTTCCCAACCTATTTCCATCTCCATGTCTAACATGCATTTTTGTCCTTCCCAGCACCTCACCTTCCCTCTAATTGCTGTCACACTCCTGTCATCATTTGGATCCTCAATGCTCTATGGCTACAATCTTGCTGTAGTGAACTCTCCAACAGCGGTAAGATCGTGGTGGAAAGTACATGCTCACTAGGGTTGCCAGATCCTGGTGCTTGTGTTTTCATTGCATATCTCCAGAAGATTAAAGTACAAACTCTCCAGTTTTGGTAGGCTCAGTTTCAGGCAAGATGAAAGGACTGTGTACAAATCTCCTGCTCAACTCACAGAGCAACAGCTTGCTGCTGTTTTCTCCCAGTCATTGTGGTATCAAGTTTTACCTTCTGATTTCACAAAAAATTCTGTATTAATTTTCAAGGAATAATATTTATCTTTGTATGAGTGTTTGAATGACAAACCATAAACAAATGATTGATGCTTTATTTATTTATTTATTTTGTATCAAAGGCATTGCATAAATGAGTATAAAACTGATAAAAATAGAAGGAGCACAAGTGGCTAAATATCTTTTTACCAAAAACAGGCAACAGCAATTGCATTGTCTGTAGCCTCCAATAATTCTTCCTCTGTACATGAGGCAGGGCATAGTGGACAAGCATACAGATGTGGAGCTGTCTGTTTTGCTCCACAGTCACACGAGGTGGAGGATTCTTTTAGGTAGTGTCATTTTGCCAGGTTGTCTTTTGATCTGCCCACTCCACTTCTGTTGCTTAATACATAGGGATTGATCCTACTCTCAGGTTTTGCCCTGGATGGAATGGCATCACTAGAGTGGCAGAGAGGGGTGAGGACTACACTGGGTGACATCATCAGAAGGGCTGACACAGAAAGGATTGTCTTACCAAGAGGAAGTGCCTCCCTGCCTCTCCAGGTGGCAGGAGTGGGTGCTCCTCCTCTCATCTTCCTTCCTTCTCCTCAACCAGTGGCTCAACATCACAGCATTTTTCAGACAAAAGTCACCACTGGGAAACCACCAGTTTGCTTGCATGATGTCAGGGCAGAAGGGAACTTTCATCTGGGACAAGCTGAGGTGGTCTAGGAGAAGAACAGCAGAAGCCTACTGGCTGGGCTTCTCTGGGCAATGAGTGGCACTTATGGCCAGAGCTAAGTGATCTCCTGGCTGCCAGGGGTTGGCTCCCCTAACCCTAGTGACATCACTACTTGGAAGTCTCAGGTTGATCCAGAGAGTGGGAAAGGTTTTATCTCTGTTTCCTGATAAACCATGTTGAACTGTACCTAATTATTTTACTCGTCAATAGCTTATCTTGGTTGACATCCTCCACTCCACAAAGTATGTGAAACTACTGCTCTAAGATTATCATGTTCTCATCTATATACTATATCTTTCTCCTTTGCAGCACATCAAAGCCTTCTATAATGCAACCTGGCACTACCGATATGGGGAAGGCCTCTCTCAAAGGTCACTCATGCTCATGTACTCACTGACGGTCTCAGTCTTTGCCCTGGGAGGCCTGGTGGGGTCCTTTCCTGTGGGAATTCTGGTCACCATCTATGGAAGGTAAAGGCAGTGCTCACAATATGGCACATAATAATGCACATAAGAGGTGGGCAAAGAGTGGGTATGAAACTGCATGTACCACAGCATCAATGTTTGTTTTTTTGTTTGCATTTGTGGTCTTTGACCTGGAAGCCTCCAGAAACAACAATTCCCCTTGACAATAGGTTCCAAGACCTCCGTGTATTATTTTAGATTTGTTAGGGCCCTTCCACTCAGCCCTTTATCCCAGAATATCAAGGCAGAAAATCCTACAATATCTGCTTTGAACTGTGATATCTGAGTCCACACTCAGATAATGTGGGATTTTCTGCCCTAATATCCTGGGATGTAGGGCTATGTGGAAGGCCCCTAGTTAATTTGACCCTGAGCTGAAGCTTTGGATGTCACAAAAAGTCCAGCCTCTGAGAGATTTCTCAGTGTCCTACATTGTATTTAGCAAATCCATGTATTCTTAATCTACCCTAATCTCGTATCTTCTATTTGCAATGCTGACTGTGTGATGACTTATAGTCCAAAACATCTTGGCTGCATTGAGATGAAGAAGGCTGTGCTATGATTCTGTAAAGAAGTTGTAACAGAAATACAAAAGCAGCATGAATGCCATAAAAAGCAAGAAAGAGGTAGTGCAATGACAATTTTGGGGAGCCACTTGAGTTTCGTTTTGCCCAAGACAAAGAAGAGGGAAACAACGTGGTGGGATTTTTAAACTTTCTGAATTTTTGACTATCTCTACATTCATTCCTAGGAATGGCACCTTGGTGCGTAGCAATCTCCTTGTCCTCCTGGCTGGCACATTGATGGGATTCAGTCGCTACATGGAATCACCTGAAATGGTCATTCTTGGACGGTTCATCACTGGTATTCACTCTGGTAGGGGACCCTCTACTGCCCAGATTTTCTCTTTCTTGTTTGTGTGTGAGAGATCTAGGTCAGATATGAGAAACATGCAGCCCTACAGATCTTTTAGAACTGTAACTCCAAACATTTCTTTATAAGCTATGCCAGTTAGGGCTTCTGGGAATTGAAGTTCAACTGTATTTTAAGGTCCACATACATTATCAGCCCCTGGTCTCTGTGAATTAGTGTGAAGTGTCAGAATGCAACCATTCTTCATACTCACAAATAACTGTTTAAATTGTAATTTTTTTAGGCAAGTGGTTCTCAGTCTTTGCTCTTCCAGATATTTTGAACTTCATCCTTCATAAACCCTCATCATTGACCAAGCTGACTAGGGCTTCTGAAACCTTTCGAAACCTTGGGGGACAGCACTGACATGACTCACAATCCAGGCCTAGACAATATGTCTCCTAAGAAGAAAATCCCATTTTATAATTCCATTGTCTTGGATATACTAATTTTCTATATGGGCATTCAGCCATGTTAACACACGCACACATACTGCGTACTGCGTGTTTTGTTTCTAGTTATTTAGCATTTACATGTCACCTCTTTCTGCTTCATTATTGCAATGGTCCAATAAGGCTCTTTTCAGAGTCTTTTCAGAGCAACTTGAGAAACTGCAAGTCACTTCTGGTGTGAGAGAATTGGCCGTCTGCAAGGACGTTGCCCAGGGGACACCTGGATGTTTTGATGTTTTATCGTCCTTGTCAGAGGCTTATCTCATGTCTCTGCTGACAGAGGGAACTCATCCACACTCTCCCCGGATTCGAACCTGCGACCTGTCGGTCTTCAGTCCTGCCAGCACAAGGGGTTAACCCACTGTGCCACCGGGGGCTCCTTTTTAGAGATTAAGTAGATATTTGTTACTTGAGAGCATATTTAGCCTGCCATTGATTCTGGGTTTACTGGGTCAAGGAGTGTTGCTATGTTTATTTATGTTTCTCTTCTCTGAGCTTCTTGAAGTGACAATAGTAACACAAAACTTGCTTTCTTTTTCTCTACCAGGTATCTGTCTCAGTGTGGTGCCCATGTATCTGGGAGAAATTGCCCCCAAGAACATCCGTGGATTCCTGGGCCTTGTACCAAGCATCTTCATTTGCTTGGGTGTTTTTTCTGCCCAGGTCCTTGGCCTTCCAGAGCTTCTTGGGGAGGTAAATGGTCACAATTCTACTACCTGCATGGAATGGGTTTGACCACAAGAGTGGGCAGTTTGAAGTTATTTCATCACTCCTAGCCAGTGGTGAGAAGTGGCTGGATTAGCAGTTCAGCATAAGAAGAAGAGCAACAAAATGCCCCACACACCAGTGCACCATAAGAAATGCTATAGTTAGTTGTTGTCAGATCATAAACTGCTACCAAAGAAACAAAAGGCTAGATAGACTTTCACTTCTGGAATTCCCAAGTTATTATGTGTGCCTGGAGTAGAGGAGAAAAGCTTCAAGGGCACTGCTTATTATCCAGGTTGAATTCCCAATGGAAAGCAAAATGGTTGGAAATTTAAGACATTGCTATGATGTTTCGGTTTGTTTACAAGCAAATAACTGAAAGTGCAAAATAGCAGTTTGATTTTATTTTAAGTTCAATTCTATGGTATCTTGGCATTTCTGATTTGACAAGGAATTGAGACGTCTCTGGCAGAAAGTGCCAGCTCATTACCCAAAACTCTGTCTCCATTCAAGCTCCTGGCCATCATGGGTGCTTCATTCTAACAATGTTGCCCATGCAACCAGCAAGGAGCAACCTTCTTGTTGTCATATAAGTTTATCTGCTGATTTCAGAATGTGGTGCCCACAATAGTTAAGAGTTTGGATGGAGCTCCATCGCTGGCTGTGAGCAGCAGCAGGGGCACAATCTATCCCCTTTCCCTGCACATATGAGGACAGGGAAAAGGTGCTGATGCCACTGTCATATTTGGACCATGGATCAGTCCAAATCACACCTGACTCCAATGTCTAAACTGTCCTAAAGCTGAGGGTTACTCCATCATTTCCAGCAAGTTCCAAAGTATCTCTTTGCCCAGAGTGGAACAAGATTGGTTTAATCCTAAAATACACACAATACTCACTGGAAGTCACCAAACATCATGAAGATAGACAGCAGTAGATTCCAGTCCAGGTTTCCCTGCCCAGGTAGAATTGCCAGTGAAGAGTCATCTTCACCAACATAAGTTTCATCGTCCAGAGCAAGGTTCCCTATCCATTATAGCAATTTATCTCTAATTCCATAACAAAAGATATGCCAGGTGACACCATTCTACTTCTGCCCAAAAAAGAACTTCAAGCAATCACTGAAATCCCTTTAACCCTTCTTGTTCAAACCCCAAACTTTCTCCCAACAATAAGCCACCACTGATATATAACATAACAATGTTGCAAGATAGCTGCACCACTTTAATAGAGAGGAAAAAAGAAATCACCATCAAAGTTCACTCCGGACAAAGAAGTATAACAATAGATTTGTAATAGGAAGGGAGGTAGCTGTCAGGGATGCGTCTATACCAGGCCTGCACAACCTGCAGCCTCCCCCCCCCCCCAGGTGTTTGGGACTTCAGCTCCCAGAAGTCCTGGCCATGGAACATCTGGCTAGAGCTTCTGGGATTTGGAGGCTGAAACACCTGGAGGGTCGCACGTTGTACAGGCCTGATCTATACTATAAAATTAATGTAGTTTTACACTACTTTAACTGCCATGACTCAATGCAATGGAATCATGGGAGTTGTCAAGGATGGTAAAACATCAAAACATTCTGGCGTCTCCTAGGCAACGTCCTTGCAGACGGCCAATTCTCTCACACCAGAAATGACTTGCGGTTTCTCGAGTCATTCCTGACATGAAAATAAATGGAGTTGTAATTTTACAAGATCTTCAGTCTTCTCTGCCAACAAATTCTGGTGCTTCACTAGCTCCCTTGATTCCAAAGCACTGACCTAAGTCAATTAAAATGGTGTCAAACTGCATTAATTCCGTGTAGATGCATCTCAGGTTACTCTCACTTCAATCAATTTACGCCCCCCCCCCCAAGCCAATAACTGTGGCCTTCCCTTGCAGCCTCATTGCCTCCCCTTGTGTGCATTTAGAAAAAGAATTGTTTAATAAAAGACTCTTGTGTTTCAATGTCGTTCCAATGTGTGTGTCTCCATTAGTAGATCAGCATGACAAGGAATAATCTCTGTTGGACACTCTCTTTCTAGGATGCCTACTGGCCTCTCATCCTCTCTGTGATTGTTGTGCCTTCCTTAGTCCAGTTAATACTGCTCAACTGGTTTCCAGAAAGCCCTCGTTACCTGCTCATTGAGAAGAACAATGTCGAAGAAGCTACCATGGGTGAGTGGCATGCTCCCTTAGGGTGCCCAGATCTGGGAAAGAGCCAAGTCCCACCTTCTTAGACTCCTTTCCAATTTCCTGTCTAGCAAATGAGAGAACCCCAGATTCAGGGGGACAACCCTGATTCCTTCCTGGTTTAAAAAACAAAAGCAAAAATTTGATTTATAAAGGAAAGCTCTGATATTGAGGTCAGCCTTCAAGGATATTGAAGCTCATGCAAGGATAGGGAATCTCATGTTTTAGGACAGTTTCTCCTTTACAGGATCTCAATTCAGGCCTCTAGTGATGTGCAGAGAGTTAGATCCACTTGCCCATCACATCATCATCTATATGGTTTCCCACCCAGCCTAAAGGGTTGCACATCACCTGTAAAGCTTAACTTAGTCTCAGTAGGACTTTTAATCTAATGCTGATATTTTTGGTCCCATCCTTTTGTGTCTGGCCCTGCTGACCAATGGAATATCCAATGTAACAGTATCCAAAAGTCCCAGGCTCAGTCAGCTCCCTGGGCATAGTCCGACCAATCAGCTTTGTGCAGTTGACACAACCACACAAACACACACCTACTGATTTCTTACATGCTCCAACTAACAAGGGCTAGAGGAATGGAGCATACATACTTAACCACAGAATTACTTATTGATTTATATGGTTATATCCTTCACGCAAGATCCAAAGAGATAACATGGAAGTGTTGAATCTTTATATCCAGCCACTTGAAAATAGTTTTATGGTCACCAGAAACCAGTAAATTTTGCTTTAAGGACCTCATGCACCCGGTGGGTTGTTCAGCCTTGCTCAGAGCATTGTTCTTATTTGACTTGTTTCACCCGTCTTTTCCCCACAGCACTGCGATGGTTCCTTGGCAAGTACGATGTGCAGGATGTGATTGAAGAGATGGAGGAGGAGAAACGTTCCCTTGCCTCTGTTGAGACTTTGTCCGTGTGGCAATTGCTGAAGGATTGCTCTGTGCGATGGCAAGTGCTCTCTGTTGTGGTGATCAACATGGGCATGCAGCTTTCAGGAATAGATGCGGTAAGGGCTCTTGCTCTTGGTTATAATCTCAAGGACGCAGCCCAGCCATGAGGCTTCTCTGTGACTTCTCACCATCTAACTTCTGTAGCTCCAAGCATTTTTTTTCTTCCCTTGTTACCTTCATTCCCTTTTTGAACAAGAGTATCTTTTTTTTTTTTCTCCAGCAAAGGATCACCGCCTTGTCGGGGCGCTGGAGCTTGAGCACCTCAATGATGTCATGAGCGAAACCGTGAAGGGACACCCAAGACGGGACGGTTGTGGCAGAGAGGTCAGACCAAGCGTGATCCCTGGGGAAGGCAATGGCAAACCACTCCAGTATCCTTGCCAAGAAAACTAAATGGACCAGTACCACCAGAGATATGTCGGTATGCCATTGGAAGATGGGACTCCCAGGTCGGAAGATGGCCAAAATGCTACTGGGGAGGAGCAGAGGATAAGTTCAACTAGCCCCAGATGTGATGACGCAGCTAGCTCAAAGCCGAAAGGAAGGCTAGCGGCCAGACGGTACTGGAGGTGAACGACGAATCCGATGCTCTAAAGATCAACACACCATAGGAACCTGGAATGTAAGATCTATGAGCCAGGGCAAATTGGATGTTGTTATTGGCGAGATGTCAAGACTAAAGATAGACATTTTGGGGGTCAGCGAACTGAAGTGGACTGGAATGGGCCACTTCACATCAGATGACCACCAGATCTACTACTGCGGACAAGAGGAACATCGAAGAAATGGAGTAGCCTTCATAATTAATAAGAAAGTTAGCTAAAGCGGTGCTTGGATACAACCCAAAAAAATGACAGAATGATCTCAATTCGAGTGCAAGGAAAGCCTTTCAACATTACAGTGATCCAAATATACGCCCCAACCACAGCTGCTGAAGAAGCAGAAGTAGATCAGTTCTATCAGGATCTGCAGGACCTACTGGATAATACACCAAAAAGAGACATTATTTTCATTACAGGAGACTGGAATGCCAAGGTGGGAAGTCAAATGACAACAGGGATCACAGGCAAGCATGGTCTGGGAGAACAAAATGAAGCGGGACGCAGGCTGATAGAATTTTGCCAGGAAAACTCGCTGTGCATAACGAATACTCTCTTCCAACAACCTAAAAGACGGCTTTACACATGGACCTCACCAGACGGTCAACACCGAAATCAGATTGACTACATCCTTTGCAGCCAAAGGTGGCGGACATCCATCCAGTCGGTGAAAACAAGACCTGGGGCTGACTGTAGCTCAGATCACGAACTTCTTATTGCTCAATTTAGAATAAAACTAAAGAGATCAGGGAAAATACACAGACCAGTTAGATATGATTTCACTAACATTCCTAGCGAATATACAGTGGAAGTGAAGAACAGATTTGAAGGACTAGATTTAGTAAACAGAGTCCCAGAAGAACTATGGACAGAAGTCCACGACATTGTTCAGGAGGCGGCAACAAAGTACGTCCCAAAGAAAAAGAAAACCAAGAAGGCAAAATGGTTGTCTGCTGAGACACTGGAAGTAGCCCAAGAAAGGAGGAAAGCAAAAGGAAACAGTGATAAGGGGAGATATGCCCAGTTAAATGCGCAATTCCAGAGGTTAGCCAGAAGAGATAAAGAACTATTTTTAAATAAGCAATGCATGGAAGTGGAAGAAGACAACAGAATAGGAAGGACAAGAGACCTCTTCCAGAAAATTAGAAACATTGGAGGTAAATTTCAGGCAAAAATTGGTATGATAAGAAACAAAGATGGCAGGGACCTAACAGAAGCTGAAGAGATCAAGAGAAGGTGGAGAGACTATACAGAAGATCTGTATAGGAAGGATAATAATATTGAGGATAGTTTTGACGGTGTGGTGAATGAATTAGAACCAGACATCCTGAGGAGTGAGGTTGAATGGGCCTTAAGAAGCATTGCTAACAACAAGGCAGCAGGAGATGACGGGATCCCAGCTGAACTGTTTAAAATCTTAAAAGATGATGCTGTCAAGGTGATGCATGCCATTTGCCAGCAAATATGGAAAACACAAGAATGGCCATCAGACTGGAAAAAATCAACTTATATCCCCATACCAAAAAAGGGAAATGCAAAAGACTGCTCCAACTTCCGTACAGTGGCCCTTATTTCTCATGCCAGTAAGGTAATGCTCAAGATCCTGCAAGGAAGACTCCAGCAATACATGGAGCGAGAGTTGCCAGATGTTCAAGCTGGGTTTAGAAAAGGTAGAGGAACGAGAGACCAAATTGCCAATATCCGCTGGATAATGGAGAAAAGCAGGGAGGTTCAGAAAAACATCTACTTCTGCTTCATTGACTATTCTAAAGCCTTTGACTGTGTGGATCATAATAAATTGTGGCAAGTTCTTGGTGGGATGGGCATACCAAGCCACCTTGTCTCTCTCCTGAGGAATCTGTACAAGGACCAAGTAGCAACAGTCAGAACTGACCACGGAACAACAGACTGGTTCAAGATTGGGAAAGGCGTACGGCAAGGCTGCATCCTCTCACCCAACCTTTTTAACTTGTATGCAGAACACATCATGCGATTGTGCGGGGCTGGATGAATGCAAAGCTGGGGTGAAAATTGCTGGAAGAAACATTAACAACCTCAGATATGCAGATGACACCACTCTGATGGCCGAAAGCGAGGAGGAGCTGAGGAGCCTTCTAATCAAGGTGAAAGAAGAAAGCGCAAAAGCCGGGTTGCAGCTAAACGTCAAAAAAACCAAGATTATGGCAACAAGAATGATTGACAACTGGGAAATAGAGGGAGAAAAGGTGGAGGCCGTGACAGACTTTGTATTTCTAGGTGCAAAGATTACTGCAGATGCAGACTGTGGCCAGGAAATCAGAAGACGCTTACTTCTTGGGAGGAGAGCAATGTCCAATCTCGATAAAATAGTAAAGAGTAGAGACATCAGACTGGCAACAAAGATCCGCATAGTCAAAGCCATGGTATTCCCTGTAGTAACCTACGGATGTGAGAGCTGGACCTTAGGGAAGGCTGAGCGAAGGAAGATCGATGCTTTTGAGCTGTGGTGTTGGAGGAAAGTTCTGAGAGTGCCTTGGACTGCGAGAAGATCCAACCAGTCCATCCTCCAGGAAATAAAGCCCGACTGCTCACTGGAGGGAAAAATACTAGAGACAAAGTTGAAGTACTTTGGCCACATCATGAGGAGACAGGAAAGCCTAGAGAAGACAATTATGCTGGGGAAAGTGGAAGGCAAAAGGAAGAGGGGCCGACCAAGGGCAAGATGGATGGATGGCATCCTTGAAGTGACTGGACTCACCTTGAGGGAGCTGGGGGTGGTAACGGCCGACAGGGAGCTCTGGCGTGGGCTGGTCCATGAGGTCACGAAGAGTCGGAGACGACTGAACGAATGAACAACAACAACATCTCTCTTTTTTAGCTATGATTGCCAGAATTCTCAAATCAGTAGCTATACTGGATAGTAAATCGTAGGATTTACCCAAAAAGAAGAATGAAATATTGAATTCCAAGCTCTTCATCTGTATGTTTTCACCTGTTGTTCTGCAGCATCTTCTATATATGGAAGCAAAGAAATCTGAGTTGCCAACTCGTTCCTCTCCAAATCATTATTTCCATTTCACATTGTGCATTTATAGTGGTTTAGTGTAACTCATTTTCCAGTTAATGCTATTTTGCAAATTCATTTTGCCTTGAACCTAGCCTTGTCCTCACCAAACACAGTTATATTTGCTGGATCACACAGCCATATAACCCAGAATATCAAGGCAGAAAATCCCACACTATCTGCTTTGAACTGGGTTATCTGAGTCCACAGTGCCATATATTCCAGTGCAAAGCATAAAATGTGGGATTTTATTCAGCTGTGTGGAATGAGCCTCAATTTTCATTCAGAAACAATGAACAAATTTGAATCAGTTAGGTCATGTTTCCTAATGTCCAGTACAGCCATCCCCGAGAGGGACTTCCAAAGAAAATGCAAAGCAGGTCTTTACGCTCATGATTTTATTTTTCTCTGTTGATAGATCTGGTTTTACACCAATGCCATTTTTGAGAATGCTGGCATTCCTGACCCAGAAATCCCCTACACAACAGTGGGCACTGGTGCAATTGAAGTCATCGCTGGTTTGATAGGTGTAAGTATGGAAATTTTTGGACTGGGTTATCTTGTCTGTAAAGGGATTTAACTTGATATTAAATGGTGCTGAAGGAGGGAGTTTGTTTATAAAAAAATAGCCAGCTTTCCAAAGTAAGAGGCAAAAAAGGGAGTTTGGAGAGATCAAGCATGACAAACACAGCTTTAAGGATAACTTGTGTGTTTGTGTGTGAATATTTGATGCAATGGACTGAGGGACATTCCAGTGTTTAAGGGCCAGACTTGTGCAGCAACGGGAAGGAGAGAGTCCACTGCTGAGTTGCAATGTCTCTGAGCAGATAGAGGTCCAAAGTTTATCAGAACAGAGTAAGATAAGAGAGTAGCTGTGAAATCTGTTTTGGCTCTCTTTCTGTCTCACTGGCTTTTTAGGCCACGGTGATCTCCACTGACCAGAAGTGATTAAAGTGCTGGGTCAAGGAGTTCAGGAAGGTGTGGGTTAGAACAGTAGCAAAGTCTGGATGACACCACAGAGAATTCTAGGGTCACACACACACACTCAAACCACAACCAGTCTTGTCCTGTTGCCTGCTTGGCAGTCGTTACTTTTCTGAAGCTCTGCATGAGTACAAGGGTAGAACTTTATGCTCTGCAGATGTTAAACAGTATCTTGGCTATTTTTGCTTGTACAGTGTAGAGCCACAACCCCTTATTACAGTTCATCATGTTGTGGTGATCCCCAAACATAACATTATTTTGTTGCTACTTCATAACTGTAATTTTGCTACTGTTATGAATTGTAATCTGATATGCAGGATGTATTTTCATTCACTGGACCAAATTTGGCAAAAATACCTGATACGCCCAAATTTGAATATTGTTGGGGTTGGCGGGAATTGATTTTGTCATTTGGAAGTTGTAGTTGCTGGGATTTATAGTTCACCAACCATCAAAGAGCATTCTGAACTCCAGCAATGATGGAATTGAACTAAATTTAGCACACAGAACTCCCATGACCAACAGAAAATACTGGAAGGGTTTGGTGGGCATTGACCTTGGGTTTTGGAGTTGTAGTTTACCTACATCCATAGAGCACTATGGACTCAAACAATGATGAATCTGGACCAAACTTGGCACGAATACTCAATATGCCCGAATGTGAACACTGGTGGAGTTTGGGGGAAATAGATCTTGATATTTGGGAGTTGCAGTTGCTGGGATTTATAGTTCACCTACAAAGAGCATTCTGAACCCCACCAATGACAGAATTGGGCCAAACTTCCCACACAGAACCCCCATGACCAACAGAAAACACAGTTGGTCATGAAGTCTTTGGTGACCCCTCTGACTGTCCCTTGTGACCCCCCCCCCCAAGGGTCCCAACCCCCAGGTTGAGAAATGCTGATGTAGAGGCTAAATTGCATAACTTAACTTATAGTTTCCCTGTTTTTCCATATATAATCCAGTTTGTGATTGCCTTCGGGTTCTGTGGAGGAGGGAAATTGATTTGATTTTAGGTTTGAATTGGGAAGTGCAACAACCACATTAAATGTTTCAAGCAGCAATTGGGAGAGCTGACCCAAAGAGAAAAGATACTCAAACAAAATGCTGCTTGGCCAGGTGTTCCAATAACACAGTTCACAGCAATTGGGAGTTTTCCTTGAGAATGAGACTTTAGCATCAATGAATATCTATGCACCCACTCATAAAGCTAGACACACATTGCTATTTTGAAACAGAAAATAATTTCATACAAAACGGTGCTTGGTTCTTAATACATCTGAACATTATGAGATTAGCAAATTGACACACCAAGCTGGGCAATTTAGTAGGAGTGCCATCATGTTGGAAAAACCAAAGAGAAATCATGTAAAGCCCATCGGTAAGACAAAATGGCAGAAAAGATTTAGGAAGCAAACAAGCCTGTTTCCCATTAGAGCAGTGGTTCCCTTTTTCTTTTTCTTTTTTTGACCAGAGACCACTTGACCAGGGACCACTCTCCAACATTAGTACCAAAAGGGTTATGAATCGGTTTTTGGTCATCTTTAGATTTGGTTTGGTTATTTGTGGTGCTGATTCAGAAAATTGCATTGGATAGACCACACCAGCTCTAGTTTCTGATACAGAACATATGCCATCCAGTAGTCACCATCTGCTCGCCCACAGAAAACCATATTTAATAATCGAGAGCTGATGTGGTAGTAATAATCTTTTGTGGGTAGTCATCCTCTCTCCTCCCAACATCCCTGATGCCTCAGCACTATAAGAGGGTTTCGTGAAACCAGTCACTCTTGTTGCTGTGTGGTTTCGAGGAAATTGTATAGTAATGGTGAGGCCGCAGACCATATTTTTGTTCTTGCAGACCACTGGTGGTCCACAGACCATAGGTTGGGAACCACTGCGCTAGAGATAGATACATGTACATTCCTGATTTGCCTTGGGAGATTATTTTAGAAGACTTCATGATTTTTGTTCATACATTTGTGTGGGCTACAGAAAGGAAGAACCAAAGCTTCTGGCAGGAAGTTTAGCTACATCCGCAGCAAGTTTGTTGAACCTATTCACTATAAAGTTTAGTGCAGGCTTGTTTCTTTTATTAGACCAGAGGTATAAATTACAGAAAAATCTCATACCTAATACATCTTGAAGCCACCTTCTTTCAACAGGGCTGGTTGCCGCAACTGTCACAGGTCCTTTGATTCCAAATTTTAGCGCTGCTGGGACAGCTTCCCAGTCAGCTATCACCCAGGGGCCGCCCGTGTCGGACCTGTGCCTCTCCCTATTACCCAAACGCATAGCTCTCCCACCCACCACCCGCCTTTGCTGCCCATCAGCAATGCCTAACTCTGGCAAGCTCATCGCTCCATCAGCCTGATTGCTCCTGAGTGCCGACAAAAACGGCCCCCAATGGATGCAGTGAGGTTGGTTATAAAATTACAGGCATTTGTTCTGCTGTCAGCAGTCTTCCTGCTTCGGCTTCCTTCTGGCAGCTTCTTTCCCCCAATCCTGGCAACAACAAGCTCCTGGATCCCAGGGCTTTCCTTTTTTTGCCAGTCTGTCCCGGTGACATGTCCAGAGCCCTATCTCCAGGGCCCCACTTATTTGCTGAACTGCACTCTAGGAATCAACCTGCAAATGTTGGTGTCTGAGCCCTCTTTGCACCAGCTTTTATCAGACATTGTGTTGTCTTCTCCCAGAGCTGAGCTGAACTGTTCAGCTTCTAAGTGCCTCCTGTCTCTGATATATTAAATGAAACTCCTTCTGAAAGCTAGGAACAAAACCCAGAACATACATTCCCAGCATCTAACCCATTAAATCTAAGATTTTATAATTTCAGAGTGGTAATGTGCCCATTATTCTCTCACTAAATCCCAAATCTCTTTGCAACTCCAGAGACCAAATCCAGAATTGCTAAAGGATCATATTCCAGCTCCATTATGCTGTTGATGGGATAAGATGGTCCTGCCATCAGGCATCTCTTTCTTAAACTTATGTCTCGCAATGGCATGGAAATTTGGTGGCACTCTGAGAATCCAAAGAGAGGAATCAAGCCTTGTTGGAATTAAAATAAGGGAATGTGATTCCCTAATTTTCAATGGTGGCGGTAAAAGTATATTTTGGTATTAATGACCAGAGTCCACAAAAACAGTCAAGGCTACATTTATTTATTTATTTATTTATTTATTTATTTATTTATTTACCATATTTATATCCTGCCTTTCTCAGCCCAAAGGCACCACCCCTGCTTTATGAAATACTATTGTTGCTGTCCAATAAGCATTGCCGTCTTACTCACTTGTGCACATGAATGCAACCAAATCAACAACAATTATCCTCACATTTTTTTTTTCTGCAGTGCTTCACGATTGAGAAGCTGGGACGTCGCCCACTTGTCATAACTGGTTTCTGTTTCATGGGCATATGCTGTGCCGGCATCACTGTGTCTCTGTTGCTGCAGGTAGGAACTTCTGAATGAGCACAGAAAGGCCAATGGATCTTGTGGGTAACATTGTTTCTGTAGTGATCCAAGCCCTGGATATACTGTGTGGACTTAGGGAGCGGCAGAGAGAACTGGGAGTGCAAAGAATGCTTCAGTCTGAACGCTTGAGACTGAAGTAACTGATCATACAAGGTCAAAGGGACGGGGATAACTAGTAGGCTGTAGTCTAATCTCATGCTGTCATGGCATCTGAGAATCCAGAGTAAGAGGCGGATGCCCATTTGCAGCCTGCTATTTAATCTTTTGAAAACCTCCTGTCTCCCTCCAGGCAGCTGTCTCCTGGATGCGTTATGTCAGTGTGGCCTGTGTCATCGGAATCATTGCAGGATTCTGCATAGGTCCAGGTGAGTTCCTTGTCCTGTTGGGTGAAACCAAGGAATGGAAGCTGACACATCCCTAATTTAAGATCACCGGGAGCCAGCAAAAGTCTAGAACCTGGAAGACTGGGGAATTCTGGGAGCTGTAGCCCAAAAGGTTGTGGAAATTATTCAAGCTGGGTCGAACTATGAAGATGCTGAAACCACAGAAGTCTGGGTTAAAGGCCACTGGCCTATTTGTGTTGTCAAGGACTAGGAAGGATAGGGTATGATAAGAAGTGGGTTATCTGATATAGCACAGAATAATCTGGGTTCTTAAGGACAGCAAATTAGTACTCTTCTTGTAAAATGTCCCAAATGTCTTTGTTTTCTTAGGAAGGTTGTTCGTGTTCTGAAAATGTAAATATGTTTGGAGTATTTGCATCCATAGGAGCTCCAGGTGGTGCAATGGGTTAAACCCTTGTGCCAGCAGAACTGCTGACAGAAAGGCCAGTTGTCTGAATCCAGGGAGTGTGGTGAGCTCCTACCTGTCAGCTCCAGCTTCTCATTTGGGCACATGAGAGAAGCCTCCCACAGGATGGGCATCTCCTAGGCAATGTCCTTGCAGATTGCCAATTCTCTCACACCAGAAGCAATGTACAGTTCCTCAGGTCATTCCAGACACGAAAGAAAAGTTGCACTCATGCTCATCTTTCCTCCAGGAAGCCAAACGCAGACCACATGGCTCCCCTCCTACCTATTTTTTTTCCTCAGAACAATCCTATCAGGTAGAAAAGGCTAATTTATTTATTATTTATTTATTTACATCCTTTCTATCCTGCCCATATCAGCCCGAAGGCAACTCAGAGCGGCATACAAAGTCGGCACAATTCGATGCCTTATATAAATACATACATCAATAAAAAGCAAAAAAGAAACAGTACAATACATTTAAAAGCATAAAACAATAAATAATACAAACTTTAAAACTATGTCCTCTCGTTCAAATCCTCATCCGTTCCATTGACTTGGCCATTCCTGGGTCATTTTCCGATTCAAATTTGTCTATTTATCCCGAGGTTCCAAATGCTTCCTCAAAGAGCCAGGTTTTCACTGTGTTTCGAAAGGTCAGGAGGGAGGGGGCTGATCTAATATCCCTAGGCAGGGAGTTCCGCAGCCGAGGGGCCACCACAGAGAAGGCCCTGTCTCTCGTCCCCGCCAAACGCGCTTGCGAGGCAGGCGGGATCGAGAGCAAGGCCTCCCCCGATGATCTCAAGTTCCTAGTGGGTTCGTAGGAAGAGAGGTGTTCGGATAGATAAACTGGGCCGGAACCATTTAGGGCTTTATAGGCCAAAGCCAGCACTTTGAATTGTGCCCGGTAGCAAACTGGCGTCCAGTGGAGCTGACTCAACAGAGGAGTTGTGTGCTCCCTGAGTGCCGCTCCTGTTAGCAACCTGGCTGCCGCAGGCTGGACTATTTGGAGCTTCCGAGCCGTTTTCAAAGGCAACCCCACATAGAGCGTGTTGCAGTAATCTATACGGGATGTAACCAGAGCGTGGACTATCGTGGCCAAGATTAAGTTGCTAAGATTAACTTGCTCAAGGTCAACTAAGACTAAGAGTTCATGGCTCTATAAGGACTTCAACCCGAATCTCTCAAGTCCCTCTCCAGCCCAATACTCAAAGCCAGGGCTGTCCAGATATTGTCGGACTACAGCTACCATTAGTCTTCACCATTGGCAATACTAATGGTGTCTGATAGGAATGGCAGTCTATGAACATCTGGGGAGCAACATTGTTCCTGCCCGTTGCCTTCCCACCTCTAAACATTTGGAATAATGGCAGAAAGCTCAATCTCATCACCTAAAAGTAGTGAGACTGGCATGGCCTCTCAAAGTTGCGAAGTCCTTTCCTGTCTTAATTTGGGCTGCTGAGGCAATTCCTCTGCCTGCTGCTAACGAAGAGGCAAAAGCGGAGCACTCTAAATATGATGGACGAGGCGGCTGCTGGTTTACCCAACTGATGTATTAGTGCAGCAGCCAACAGATCCATAACTCATTCTCGGCCCAGAATTTATTCACTGTAATTACATCTTTAATTAGGATTTTAATGGCTCATTGTTCACAAACAATGATGAATCTGACTTTTTAAATAAAAATATCTCTCTTCCCACTCTGGGTGATCTGTGAGCAATACTCAAACGGGGGCGGAGGGCGGATTGGGGGGGCAGAGTGGTTCTGAGCACTCCTTGGATGGATTTTTGAAAGTTTTTTAGAAGTCATTTTAAGGAAGCCATTCTGCATGCTCCTGAAAGAAGGACGTGTTACTTAAATTGCAACAGAAAGAAGACTAATCTTGGTGCATTAGGACAAGTAGCATAATTAGAAGTGAAATACTCCCCCCCCCTCCCCGCCGCCCCAGGTTGTTTTGCAGGGAAATTCCTTCCATTAAAGAACCCTCTTTTAATCAGTGATGTTGTTGTATACTCAGTTGTGGAGGAGAGCCAAACTAGAGCATAGGGTAATTTAGGAAACGCTTTCGAGGCCCTGGAAAACTGACCCTTGTTTTCAGTAGTTGGAGGGGGGCAAAGGGATGTGAAAATAGGGGAGGGCCTGTGTCCTTGTTGTCTTGGTAACTGGGCATGCTGTTTTGCTGGATTGCAGCACAGCTACCCAGCCAAACACACATGCACACAAGCTTTGGATAGCATAGGGAAGGGTGAACACCCCTGTCGTGCTTGTTTTGCTGTCTTTGCCCCTTTTCAGAAGCTTTCACCTCATTTTCTGTCCCTGTGATAATTGGATTTTGAAAAATTTGACTTGTTGTGGAAATAACGATTAGTGAGAAAACTTCAGTGGAGACACCTTTCCCCTATGATGACTCTTCCAAGAGCGAATTTCCCTTCCTAGGGGTAGATTTCTCTCACTTCCAGTTGTCTCACTCCCGTTTGTAACTATGAGTAATTTGTAAGTTGAATGTTTGTAACTCAGGGACTGTCTTTACTCTGAAACTCTGCTCAGTTCTGAATATACATTGCAACGTACGTACAAGTGCACAATCTAGTGAGGGCTATATTGTTTAGTTAGAAGCATGTCACTTCAACTGTCATGGATTCATCCAACTGCCATAGATCCATCTTATAGAACCCTGGGATTTGAAATTTGGTGAGTTAGTATCTTCCTTGTAAAATTAATGTGGTTTGACATCACTTTAATTGTCATGGCTGCAAGCAATCTGGGGATCACAACCGGACACAGTGAATACATATCTGACCTTGCACTTTGCTACTCTGCTGCTGAGTATGCATGCCCAGTGTGGAACACATCTCACCACACTAAAATAGCGGATGTGGCTCTTAATGAAATATGCCACATTATCACAGGATGTCTACGCCCTACACCACAGGAGAAACTATAATATTTTAGCCGGTATTGCACCACCTGACATCCGCTCGGAAGCAGCAACCGTTAATGAAAGGACCAAGGCATTGACATCTCCGGCCCATGCTCTGTTCAGATATTAGCCAGTAAGCCAATGCCTTAAATGAAGAAATAGCTTCCCAAGATCTACAAAGGAACACCTCAGCAAGTGAGAGTCCAAAAGTGGCAGGCTAAACCACAGAACCTTGGACCAAATGAGAAACTACCCCCCCCTCCCCCTGCATACAGAAGACCGGGCAACTTGAAAGCCGTTAAACAAACTGCAGTCTGGCACCATGAGATGCAAAGCCAACTTTAAGAAATGGGGCTGCAAAGTGGAGCTCAACATGCGAGTGTGGAGAAGAGCAAGCCACAGACCACTTACTACAATGCAGTCTGAGCCCTGCCACATACACAATGGAACACCAGAGGCACTCTTAAGTGGCCAGCTTATGTTCAAAAGAAATTTAGTATAATTAGAGACGGCCCTAGGTAATTTTCAATGGTAAGCAAACAGTATTCCCCCCCCCCCCCCCCCCAACCAATCACTGATATATATTTTCTGTTCGTCGTGGGAGTTCTGTGTGCCATATTTGGTTCAATTCCATCATTGGTAGAGTTCAGAATGCTCTTTGATTGTAGGTGAACGATACATCCCAGTAACTACAACTCACATATGTCAAGGTCTATTTTCCCCCAAGAGCGCCTCAAGAGCGCCTCTGGACAAAATCAACTATATTGCAAATGCTTACTTTGCGTAATGGCTTGAGCCGCCCCTGAGTATAATGCCAAGTGTTTAACTTTGTTTGTGGTTTTTCTATACATGATAACTGTATTCTCAATTCACTTCTAACATGATAAATAAATAAATTGCCATGGCTCAATACCATGAAATTTTGGGACTTGTAGTTTTACAAGGTCTTCAGCCTTCTCTACCCCATGCAAACTATAAATCCTATGGCTCCCTAGCATTCAGCCATGGCAACTAAAGTGCAGTCAAATGGCATTAATTGTAAAGCACCCTTACTTAAGGTATTTTGCTACAAAGCCGAACTGGTATAATTCAGAGGAATGTGCTAGAGATCCCTAAGATTAGAACTATATAGTGTCGACACATGTATGTGGATCTTGTCTATCCAGATTCAATTTATCTTAATGGGTCATGTGAATTAATTTATATTCCCGGACAGCTATTATTGGATTAACACAATTCAACATCATTTGATCTTCCTGACATCACCAATTAGCCAAATTCAATTTGTTCTGTGACATAATTATATTGAATCTATTGGCACCATATGGCTAGGACCACATATATTGGCTCCCTACTTCCACAACAAAAATAATTTTAAACCACAATGTGGCCATATTTTTGGTCCTCTCTGGACTATTTTATGTTCAGGAGAGACCTTTTAGAAAAACAAAGTGATCTAGAAGTTAACTTCTGTGAGATTTCCTTTTGGAATACTGACATCTTCCAATACCTTCATTAGTCTACATCTTTTTAACTAAACCTCGTATGTATTGTCAAAGGGCCCTTCCACACAGCCCTATATCCCAGAATATCAAGGCAGAAAATCCCACATTATCTGGGTGTGGACTCAGGGCCCTTCCACACAGCCTCTATCCCAGAATATCAAGGCAGAAAATCCCACGATATCTGCTTTGCACTGGGTTATCTGAGTCCACACTCAGATAATGTAGGATTTTCTGCCTTGATATTCTGGGACATAGGACTGTGTGGAAGGGCCCTTAATTACTCTCAGGGTTGTTCATATACCAAAGGTATATGGATAGGAACTCAAGTTACAAGCCCTTCTGGCTCTAAACATAGTCTTTCTTCCACAGCTGGCGTTCCCTTTTTGATGACAGCTGAACTCTTCAAGCAGTCCCACCGGCCATCGGCCTACATTGTTGGAGGCTCCCTCAACTGGCTCTCAAACTTCACTGTTGGATTTGTGTTTCCTTTCCTGCAGGTAAGACTGGTTCCTTTGGGTAGGTGGTGGGCTATGCTGATTGGGGGTTTCTAGAAGTAACCGCTCGTAACAGGACTAGCTCTTTAGAAAGTAATGGTCCCAAGCTCTGGGCAGAAAACCAACCTTCCTAGAAGTTAATATCAATTGACTGGTTTGTTCATTCCAAATTTACCTACCTTTCTCCCAAAAATGGGACTTGAGCAGGCTTACAATTAAACAGAATCAGAATACTATACATTTAAAACTGCTCTCCACAGCTGAATCTATTATATGATTCAAACTTCATTGTATAGCAGTGTGGTTGTTGTTGTTCATTCGTTCAGTCATTTCCAACTCTTCATGACCTCATGGACCAGCCCACACCAAAGCTCCCTGTCGACTGTCACCACCCCCAGCTCCTTCAAGGTCAATCCAGTCCCTTCAAGGATGCCATCCATCCATCCATCTTGCCCTTGATCTGCCCCTCTTCCTTTTTCCTTCCATTTTCCCCAGCATAATTGTCTTCTCTAAGCTTTCCTTTCTTCTCATTATGTGGCCAAAGTACTTCATCTTTGCCTCTACTATCCTTCCCTCCAATGAGCAGTCAGGATTTATTTCCTGAAGTATGGACTCGTTGGATCTTTTGGTGGTCCAAGGCAGTGTGGATCCAGCCCATATTGGTGCTCATACAGGGATTGTCCTGGCAATGGTTGCTGGACACAATATAGAAGAGAGACTAATGCTTGGTTTTTCTGTGTAACACCGAAAGAGACCATCATTAGAAGTGAGGAATGACCCCCCACCTATTTATTCTTCCATCTAATGTACCTATTGTGTTGATTAAGTCTTTCCGTGAGAGTATAATGCTCCAGCTTGTGAGTGGGAGAAACCATAGGGTAAGCAACCTGGTGCCATCCAGATGTTGACTCAAAGTTCCATCATCCCTAACCTTGCTTTCTGGGGTCAATAAGCACTAGGTTGTCTACCCTATCCATAAAACTAGGGATGTAACTCCTAACTTGGTTTAGAAACAACTTGTGAGACAAACACAGCATTCAATTGCTTGTGTCTGTTTCTCTTTTTCCAAACCTGGCATTATAACTTGTATCGAACCTCTAAGCCTTGATGTTTGATGGAAAACCAGACCAGTGAGTGATGCTGAAATTACAGGAAGAGAACTTGCAGAAAAATGCAGCTGGTTGCGACAGTACCACATCACAAGAAAGTTTGTTGCTATGTGCTTTCAAGTTGTTTCCAACTTATGGCAACCCTATCACAGGGTTTTCTTGGCAATATTCTTTTCAGAGGTGTTTGCCTGACAGAACGTGATTGCCCCAAACTGTAAGCCAGTTCCATCATCAGTTTTTTTACGTCCCACCTTGGAATTTAAGATTGTCCAGGGAGGCCCTCCTCTCGATACCGCCTTCTTCACAAACATGTTTGGTGGGGACGAGAGACAGGGCCTTCTCAGAGTTGCATTGCGTTATCATGAGTATTACTTTGGGTTGAAATAGTACGGTTTACCTCCAAACTGCAAGTAAATATGATGATTGGATGAATCTTATGCATTCTTTCTCTCTGGTTGTATTCCTCACTCTACTTTGTTTTCATTTTCAGATGTCAGCTGGTGCCTACTGCTACTTGGTTTTCTGCGGCATCTGCCTTGCGGTTGCCTTGTATGTCTATTTCATCATCCCTGAGACTAAAAACAAGACATTTATGGAAATCAGCCACATGTTTGCCTCTCGCCACAGCTTCTTCTCTCGCTTGCCCAATGCTGTCAAGATGGTCAAGTTCAATGGCTATGGAGCCCTGGAGAACAGTTCCTTGGAATATTCTGGGTCAGAATCTAACCCATGATGCTTATCTTGTTTACTATTTCCTGAAGCAATTCCTTCTGTTGGAAAGCCATCTTAGTGAGATGTCTTCTGTGTTTGGGCTTCGGGAGATGGAACCATTTGATTGTCTTTCTACAGCTCCTTTCTTTCTGCCTGGTCAGTAGTCCAGAAAGGACTTGTAGAAAACTAAGTTTGAATCAGGTTCTTCTTCTGCCTCATTCTGCCCAACTGATCACTGCCCCAAACATTTGTGGGTACCTTCCATCCAAATTTATTCCTCCTCCTCCATGGCCTATTTCTGAGGCCTTAAAATCAAAGTAGTTAAATAACAACTATTTTCAGGCAACTGGTATATATGAAATGATTATAATGTCATGGTTGGAACTCATCCTTTATAGGATTTACAAATATTTACGGAGACCTATCAACCTTTTTTCAAGACTTAGGTTGCCTGAAGCCATGCGGTTTAGACTAGGTGGTCTTGGGTTCCTTCCAGTTCAATGATCCTACCAGTCTATGCCAACATATTTCCTGAAACCATATTCAGAGATTTACAAGCACACAAAAAATGGTAGCATAGTCTTTCTACAGTTTGGAAACATTGCCTTTTCTATCAACAAGTCCGAGAATCCCTTCAGCTAGAAAGGCCAGTGGCCAAATTGGGAGCTATAATCCCCCAAAGTAACAGTTCTAAATCTGGTTTAATTACTTGTGAAGACATGCATACATCCCATTTGAAACAAAATTGAAAAATAAAACAAATGCTTGGCCCTGGAATTATTTGCATTTTAAAAAGCTGGTACAGTCCTCTCAGCAACATTCATAGATTCAATAACAAAATGTTATACCAAATAAGCAACACAATAGCACACTCCCTAAACAACAGTAATATCATCCATATGAAGGGAGCTACAACAGTACAATTACAGTCACATCCATCCTGCAGTGCCAAAAGATGGCAATGCTGAAAGAAATCTCTCTCTCTCTCTCTCTTACACACCCACACAACAACAACAATACAATAAAAAAGTAAAGATTTCCCCTTGACATTGTCTAGTCATGTCCAACTCGGGGGCGGGCAGGGTGGTTGCTCATCTCAATTTCTAAGCTGAAGAGCTGTAGTTGTCCATAGATGCCTCCAAGGTCATGTGGCCGACTGCATGGAGAGCTGTTACCTTCCTGCCAGAGCAGTAACTATTGATCTCACATTTGCATGTTTTGAACTGCTAGGTTGGCAGAAGCTGAGGCTAACAGCGGGAGCTCACCCCGCTCCCCGGATTTGAACCGCCAACCTTTCGGTCAGCAAGTCCAGCAGCTCAGCAGTTTAATGCCCTGCGCCACCGGGGCCTCCAACAACACAGTAGTTACACAGAAAAAGAGCACTGTTTATGCAATAAATATCCAAATATCTGCCTCTAGTTCTGAAGTTAGAAAATGTTAGAACAAACAGGTTACTGTGGAACTAGGTCCCATTTGAATATATAAGTGTTCAGACATTGGAAAGGCTAATCACAGGATTCTTTCACACCATACAATTGTTGTGTGCCTTCAAGTCATTTCCAGTTTATGGCAACCCTAAGACAAATCTTTCACAGGATGTTCTGGGGCCGAGAGTATGTAATTCACACATAGTCACCAAGTGGGTTTCCATGGCTGAGTGAGAAATCAAACTGATAGCCAAAGTTTTCGTCCAGTGCTCAAACCATTGCAATTATTGAACTATTATTCCAGTTCAACTGCCACCTTTTCCACACCCAGTGTGGGAAAGGTAGCAAGAAAAGGTCTATGTGAGTTGCTTTTCCCGTACTGTATCCCATTTTTCTGCTGTGTTTAAAACCAGTTGGAGAAAAAACAAATCTCCAACCTTGCTTTGTGGTAGTCCTTTTCCCTGGAGGCTCTCAAATTATATGGGTGGCTGGTTATATGTTTCCTCCCACAATTGTTATTTTGTACAACCTCATTGCAGCTTGGTCCCTTGGCATTGAAAAGGTTGCCCTTGTCTCTTCGCAAGAAAACAGGGCCAATTCTTTTTTTATGGATATCTTTTGCTCTTTTACCTGCTGGTGTTTTATGTTGTCCAGAGGTGCTGTTCAGAGCTTGGAAAAAACAAGACTGGCATGGCCAGTTTGAGGAGTTGTAGTCAAAAAAGTAACATTTCCAAGCTATAGGAACATTTTTGTGACCTCTGTCGATTGGGAAGCAGTTGATTTTCATTCCAACCCAACCACTTGTGTGAACAATTGCCAATGTGAAGGGGAATTGTGACAGGGGTTCCAATTATGTTGATTTTATTGGGGGTCACATGGGAGGGGATGGGAATGGCAGTCAGATGATTCCCAATCAGCCAGTCTTAAGACATTCCAAAGATACTCACTCTGGGCCATTTTGGAAGAAGACACACTGGGGTTCTTTTTTTCCTTGGTGGAAAACATGGACAGAAGATTTCAATAACGGCTTTTCAGAAAGAACTTGAAGAATGTTTCTGTCAAGCGTATTGAAAGCTTTCCTTTAGAAACAGATTTTGAACTGTGCCACAGAGAGCAGACGATTGTTGATGGCACAGGCTGATTCCCAGTAAATGGAGGCATGGGGTAACTGGGCCAAGTATCGATGAGTAATATCATAATTATGGTGTTTACACATAATTATGATATTACACATAAGTCCCATACAAAGGTCCAGCCACAATGCACGTATACATGACGAGATAATAATATAAACCAGAAATACAATTTTTTAATTTTATAAAAATGAAATGAAATGAAATAAAATAAAGTTATAACAAAGACAAAATGGAGCGAGAATCATGATTTGTAGTAAAATGAAAGACTCAGAACAGAAAAAATGGAGAACACTCTCTAAGGCAGTCATATCATCTCCTATTTATTTATTTACTAGCTTGGGGACCCGGTGCTGCCCAGGTTATTAGAGAAAGTGGGTCATGGGGGCTCTGTGTGCCAAGTTTGGTATTTATCAGTCATTGAATGAGGATCGCAGTGGTTTCAGTAAGTGAGTGAAGGTACTACAAGTCCCATCATCCATGGTCCACCCTCCTCCAAACTGCAGCAGAATGTAGAGTGTGCCATGAGTACTCTGTGTGCCAAGTTTGAGCCTGGTCTGTGATTCCCTCTGCTACCTCGGAATGTTGAGGTTGGCCAATCAGAGACCATATGCAAATTGTACCACAGTGGCAACCAAACAGAATCCTAGAATGTTGAGGGTAGCCAATCAGAGACCATATGCAAATTGTACCACAGTGGCAGCCAATCAGAACGCTGCCACATACACCTCCTGTGTTCTGCATACAAACACTGACTTTTATTATATACATAGATTTATTTCCCATCCTTCTCACCCCAAAGGGGACTCAATGCAGCTCACAACAAAGGCACAATCTGATGCCATAAATACATATATAGAATAAAACAACATATACTTTAAAACCATATAATTAAAACATATCAAACTTAAAACAATTACTTAAAATCACACAATCTAAAAGCATATTCCAGGAGCCATTGGAATACAAACCCTAATCCAATTTTTCATTTGGTGCAACTATCCCACAGCACAACTACTTACTGGATGGAGAAATTTGGGGATGGAGGCTTAGAAACATACACGGTTCCTCCTTTATCTGGATTCAAATATTATGAAATGGAAAACACTACCAATCTTCTACAGGGACAGAGCTGGATGCTTCACCATGTCCACTCACACTCTCCATCAGTCAGTAAACGACTGTGTTTTGGGGGATGAGTAGCTCTTTCTGATCTAGGATCTGTTAAGGGTAAAACTATCCCATCTGGTATTCAAATTGGCAGCCTTTTGGTGCATCGGTTTTGCACAGGTGCAGCCTCTGAATTGAACCAGGACGCCCTGGAATGAGCTACGAATTGCTGAATCAGATTCCACCTGAACATTAGAAAGAACTTCCTAGCTGTGAGAGCTGTTCAGCCCCGGAGTGTAGTGGAGGCTCTTTCTTTGGAGGCTTTTAAACAGAGGCTGGATGGTCATCTGTCGGGTGTGCTTTGAATGCGATTTTCCTGCTTCTTGGCAGGGGATTGGACTGGATGGCCCATGAGGTCTCTTCCAACTCTATGATTCTTTGAAGATGGGTGGCCAGGCTCTAAGGACTCCATATGAATAAAGGTCAACTTCTTTTCCTCTTCCAGGGCTGCTTTCCCCTTGTCCAGATGGAGTCCCAGAGAAGTCTGGCAATTTCTTGAGACATTAGCTACTGCTCTGAGACAGGACAGTCTCAAAACCCCAAAGTCAGAGAGCAAATAGAATCTGGATTTTATGGAAAGTCATGTATGCTTTGCGTGTGCAGATTGGAAGGTTTTGCAAAGCATAGCCACTAGATGTCCCTGTTGGTCAGTAATCTCAAGTGGATGCTTGTAGTCAAACTGGGCTGCATAAATTTGAAAGTTTAGGTTGCAGTCCTAACTACTACTTATTGTGCATCTTGATGTGCCTTCAAGTCCAATGTTGGCTTATACTATCCCCATAAATTTCATAGGGTTTTACTAGGACTATCACACCAATCTGTTGCTTCACACAAACTGTGTTATTTAAACAAGTGGAAACATGCCACTATGGAATCATTCACTTTATATCTTCCCTCAAAAAGTGCTGTGGTTCCATTCCAATAATGTACATTCTTACAATCAGTCTTCTGCATTGGTTTGTTTGGCCCCACTTCCCTATATGTAGACACAAATAGTTGTCTACTTAGGTCAAGCAACCTGTTTAATTGTTCTTCTTGTTACTCTGCAATTGTGCAGTTTCAATGGAGTGCATTGCCATAATTGCATCATTTCAGATATGATGACAACCCCAATCACGGCAGTGCATAACAAATTTTTAAAAATCCAGAGCAAAATAATGTGACTTAGCAGAGGAGAAGGGGACCATGAGTGCTCACATCTCACAATTAGCAGAATAGCAGAACTGCTACAGAACAAAAAAAAAAAATCACATCAGAAGTATTAATTTAATAGGAGCTATATTGAAGCCATTTAAGAGTTTTTCCCATCAGTGAAAGCTGAGATAGAAATGCAATGCAACAATGGGAGAGTTGCAGCATTGTGTAATAAAAAATAGAGAATGAATTCAGTGACATCATGCAACAAATGTATCATGTTATGAAGACCTTAGAGAAGGAAGACTCAGGGATGTTGTTGTCATTTTCTTCTTCTGAACTATAGATCCTGATCTTCATTAGTGATCTCCCATCCAGGTACTAACCAGAGTTCATCTTGCTAAGCTTTGCAGATCAGACAGGCTCTTGTGCCTTTTAGGTTATTTAGCTATTCCTACTTATAAGGAAGCAAATGCCACAGATGTCATATGTACTTTAAACTTCTGAGCAAGTATGTTTGGCACCAGGATATTATAAAGGTTACTAATTTCAAAGCTCTTCTGTAATTTCAGGAGTTGGTAGTCTCCTTCTGGAAGTCTTTTGAACCCAGGAGAAGTACAATGGATTGGAACTTATGGCTTGATTTTGAAGATTACAAACGGTTATCTGGCCTCCTCACTAGATTTTAATGCCAGGCAGCAATGTAAGAGATTAGATGGTCCATGGCCCAAGGCTGGCCCAATAGATTTTACTCCTTCTGTTCGTATGCAGAAGCCAATATAGGCAGCATGGTAGCCTCCTCCACTCCTGAGAACAAAAAGCTAGTTTAGGAGATGTTGACAGGCTGCGTGACACACAAGACACTTCTATTCTTAAAGAGAGAGAGAAAAGGACAAAGGTTTCAAGAGTTTAC